TTCACCCCTTACTCAAAACGTTTAACCTGTATGAATTACACAAATATAACATAATATGTTAATTGGCGAGCTGTAGAGTTGCTGGTATGTAGATTTAGTTTAGCTTTTTTTCCTGCTTTGTTCTCACTTTTATGCTAAGACAAGCTAAATATCAGTAGCCATGCAGTGTAAACATAAACTGTAGCAATTTCAATCATATCCTTTCTGAAACTATATAAATCTATTTCCTAAATGTTAAACTGGGATGCATCAGGGACGACCCTGATGAAACCCACAAGCCGAAACGCGTTGGTCAGTCAATAAAGTTGTTCCTCTTCCCTTAGGTGTTGCTGGAGTTCCTGCATTGTGAATTGTTTCATCCTCTCCATGCACCTTGGAAGTAGGTGAATTTGTGCCAGAAATCTTTGCTCTAAATGTTAAACTACTCATTAATTCATTCCTTCCCACCTCCTCGAAGCACTTAGCTAAAGTTTCTCCCACATAGGCAGACAGAGCCCCTCTGGGGAATGATCAGAATTCCTCTGCTGATAGTATAAGCTACCACTCTCACCATTACAATACACCCACTGTTTTATCAGAGAGCACACACACACACACACACATGTGCAGTCATTTTACTTCAAACAGCATCTTTGGCACGGCCAGATCAAATGACACTGCAGCAAGCTGACACTACACTTGTGAGTCTTCATCTGGGTTAGAAAGAGAATGAAGCATTGAAGCTGGACTAAAGGAAAGATTTCAATCACACTCCTGTTCGCCTCATATCAGATTGTGTCACAGCTATGTTTTGTGTCCCCTGAAGCTCGACAGGCCAGAAACAGGTGCTCTTTTGTTTTTCAGCTGCAGAGACCTTGACTTTCCCCCAGAGCCATAGTTTTGGTCTAACGCAGTAACACAGGACATTTATATGTGCTTATAATTACTTTAAAAGGAGAAAAAAACAATCTATATAGGACCCTAGCACTGCTACAGCTGCTGACAGCATTCCTGGCATTCCCGAGGATATTTCGTTGTCTTTTATATTTTTGCTTAATTCTCTGGATAGCTGGAAGAATGTGCACAACATTACATCATGTCCAGATGCTTCCGGTGCAGACTTTGATGGCTGAAATGTCATCCATTTAAAACCTAAATGTTTTTAGGATTTAAAGACAAATAACGTGGTGTTAAGTTTTAAGTGATTCCTTTTAGACTTCTTACTGTCAGAACATTTTTTTGATGCTTTTTTTTCACCTTGTTCTCCATTTGTCAACTCTGCAGCTTAAAAAAATGAACCTAAGGAGCCTTTCTGGGAAATAAACTGTAAGTAATCAGTCACTGGAAGAGAACTGGGAGCAAACTGAACACAACGCAATCATAAAACACATCAAGTCGTTCCAAAATAACCCCTGGAAGGGGACAGCGGAGTGGGAATAACAAATAATATAAGGAAAGACTTTCCCGATGTGAAGTTTCCTTTTAAATTAATCCTGCACAGTTATGGAAAGCCAGGAGGAACAAATGCACATCGACAGCGTAATGCATAAACTACTGCCTGCTTAAATAAAGGATAATAAGTTTACATCTTTTTCAAAAATCTCTATATTTCCACTCATGAAGGCGTCTGCTGATTTTAGATGGTGATGATAACAGATGTTGTGATATGATGAATCTAATGTATATGTATGTGTTCAAAGTTCAAATATCAGGACCCGCGTGACTAGATCGTAATAAGATCTCGTATCTGTGGCACCTTTAACCTCCGGCAACTTTTTGCCAGTGAGCCGGAGTTTGGGAT